AAATTGGGAAGCCTTAGAAAAATGGACCTCTTGCAATCACGAGGGTCCAGAACTTCTCCCCCATTCATGTTGACTCACAGACCCTGGTTTTCAATCTCCTTTTATTTTGTAACGAATTAACTTTTGAAATGAAGGAAAAGAGGGTTTATGGTGGCCCTGCCACGTTCTCTCTCTCCCTCTCCCTCTCTCTCTCTCTCTCCCTCCCTCTCTCTCTCTCCCTCTCTCTCTCTCTCTCCCTCCCTCTCTTTCTTTCTCTCTCTCTTTCTCCTGTGCTTCTGCCTTTGGGGTCTTCGTTGGGTGCTGCTGTGGTTGTGCGGGTGTCAGTGTTAAAAGCGTTTACCTTTTTCCTGTTTGTACTCGAGCATCTTTGCAGCTTTAACTTTCATTCAGTGTGCTGTTGCGTTGCTCCACTGGACAATTTTCACCACTGGCCAACTCTGTCTTCTGATGTGTAAAAGCCATACAATGTTTTAAATAAATACGTTTTCTTTTCCTTTTTTTTTTTTTCCTAAACCAACCAACCAACTAACAAACGAAAAAAAAAAAAGTTTCTCTTAATTGATTCTTCGCTCTCTTCCTCGCTGTCTCTTTCTCCCGAGCTTCTCCTAACATGTCTTCCACGCTCTTGTCTTTCTCGAAATGAACATTTTATGACGCATACTAACCTCTCGCAACACATCATTGTTTACAAAACAAAATGTTCAAATGTGCTGGCCACATTATCCTTCCAATTATATTGTCCTTTTTTTGGTTTTCATCTCATCTCATGAAGCACAAGGGGGCAACTTTCACACCTTCACTTTAAACGACCCATAACACCCTGAATGTGTGAATGCCAAGGGGCCAAGCGGTTCTCAGAGGGGGTTTTTTTCTCTCTCCCCGAACTAACCATGAATCTCCCGTGTTCACACTGCCGTTTCCGTCCTAAAAAAATACCGGTCTTTGCCTGCCAAGCCTCCACCACCTTTCTCTCCTCTGTTGCCCCTGGAAATTGGAGACTTGTAGTCCTCTAACGCTCTGGTGAACCTCAGCTTCCAAAGATGACCTTCCAAGTTGGATTGTCAACCAGCAGTTGTGTGATCTAGCTAAGGGGCTGAATGTCCACTCAGTGTTAAAAGTAGATGTTCGACTTTAAAAAAAATGTTCTATTTAAAAAAAAAAAAACTGGAAAGCAAAATATTTGGGGAGCTCAGAATTAACCAACGATTTGCTCCTTTTAAAGAATTGGAAGCATTTTTTTTCTGGACCCTCCTAAACATGGTCTCGCTTTTGCAATTCCAAGGAGGTCACAATTCAAGGGTGTCCCTTTTTATGGGTCGCTATTCAAACCAGCAACTTGGTCGTAGTGCGGATCCTGGTTATTTCCGCGCCTTCCTCACAAGAATGGTGTGGGTTTGGAAGAAGGCTCTTGTTTGCCTACATAATCCCATTGTGGTGTTCTGAGTGATTGTGAAATTCCCAAGACAAGCACATTCGTAAAAGATAAGGGCACAAGTAGTGGAAATCGATACGGAGCTTAAATTGAACAGTGGATCATTGGGATTTCTCCAAAGCAAAAGTAACTGGAAGAAACAATTGGAAAGAAATCAGGCTAACTTGGGTTGCATCTTAATCAGTGTGGGAGCGTAGGGGTTAGAATGCAGTATTGCAGGCTAACTCTGCCGACAGCCTGAAGTTTGATCCTGACAGGTTCGAGGTTGACTCAGCCTTCCATCCTTCTGAGGACGGTAAAATGAGGACCCAGATTGTTGGGGGCAATACGCTGCCTCTGTAAACCGCTGAGAGCTGGAAAGTACTGTGAAGAGGTATATAAGTCTAAGTGCTATTGCTATTCCTAACTCTGCCCACTGCCAACAATTCGATCCTGACTGGTTCAACATTGACTCAGCCTTTCAACCTTCTGAGGTCGGTAAAATGAGGACCCAGATTGTTGGGGGCAAATAGTCTGACTCTGTAAAATGCTTAGCGGGCTGTAAAGCACCGTGGAGCGGCATGGAAGTCTTAAGCGCTCTTACTAAGTGCTATTAATCCAACATAAGGAGGTAGTAACTTAACCTGTTAGGTTGCCTTGAGCATCACACCCTATAAGTAAATCTTAGCTTTGTTCTGAACAATCTGATTTCCTTACGTTTCCAGAAAGAGCTTGGTTAGAAAGTGAGGGTCAACATGGCTTAGAAACTAAGCTGCCATCATATCTTGGCTTGTATTTCAATAGCTACATTAGACCTAAAATCAACATGGCATCCATTTAGAGAGCAGGGCTCTGTGACGAGACTATATTATAGCCAGAGGAAACAGTGGTGTGGAAAAGAGGTCACAGAATTGTGACCCGACAATTCTTAGCAGCCACAGTTCTAAGACAAGATGCTCTAAAAGTCACGGGGTTGTTTCCTCACCCTTGTCTGAAAGTTGCTCTTTGTGGCCCCGTTCTCTTATGGGTTTGTTTTAAGCAAAGCGAGCAGGCAAAAATTAGCCCAGGTTGTGGGAAACGGGTGCAGAAGGAGAGTTGTATAAGGGTGGGGGGTGCGTTGTTTTGGCCTGACACCCCATAAAAGCTCTACACGGCCCCCTCTAGGAGAAAAAGTCCTCCCCTACGAGGCAGGTTGGCCTCAGCTTGGTTCTCCGGGGCTTCAGAAGGTCATCCGAAGAGCCTCTCCAAAATTGGCCATCCTTCCTACCCAGGGGAGGAATACTCACTATGAGCATCTTAGTAGTTTGAAGCTGAGTTGAAGTTAGATTTCATGGAGAGCATCTCCGCAGCCTGTTGGAACGTCTGCATGTCAGGTTGCTGAACCCTATGGCTCAATCTGACGATTTAGAATTCTCCACCTTGGTAACTTTTGAAGACCTTAAACTGGGGGATTCTGGGAGTTGGAAGTCCACACGTCTACCGGTGGCCAAGGTTGAAAAACACCCACTCTAGAAAGTTGAAGGTCAGGTGGTAACCCACACCGGAGAAGTGTCCCCTAGACAGGAATTCCTTGAAGTAAGTTGGCTCTTTTGAGCTTGGCTATTTTCTTGCAGACATTTCATTATCCTACTACGTAACATCATCAGTGCTGGGTGATATCTGCAAGGAAACAACCACGCTCAGAGAGCAACCCACACTTCAACCTAAGCTACCCTTCCTCTCTTCTATCGGCCCTTGAAGTGTTTCCAGGATGGTTCAGATCAGAAGTATCAAACCAAAACCTGCCCCTTGTTATGTGTTTGCCTCTGTTCCTCCCTAAACCCCGGAGCCCTTTTTACATTCTTGTTATCTTTTTAACGGTACTGTTGTCCAAGATGTCCCCCTGTTGATGATGGATACTAAACTACTACGTTGTTTTCCTCCCACAGGTGACCCCAAAACTTGGCAGAACAAGTCTCTTCCCGGAGATCCCAATTATCTTGTTGGAGCCAATTGTGTGTCAGTTCTAATAGATCACTTCTAACCCTTTACCTTTAGTGAGTGGATCTGAGTGCGAAAACCAAGATTTTTTTTAAAGAAAGAAAATCAGACCAAAAAAAAACAAAAACAAAAAAACACAAACTAAAACCAACCAACCACCTGCATAGAAACTGAACCACTTTTTCCAAGTATTAACCGTTCTCCTAGTATTAAGCAATCTGTGGTTTGACTAACAGCAGCTAGTCAGGACGTTCTTGAGCCGTGGGATCAGGGTACATGTGTTTGCAGCAGCTAAACAAACCGGTCAGCAGGGGCCACGCCACGTCCTGGCAGGGGGAGCCTCTCACCTTCCTTAAAACGGGACACTTAACGCATCGTTGCTTAAAACCTTAAACTACCACCGAAGCAATGCAATTTAGTGTTTCCCCCCTCCCTTCCCTTCTTCCCCCCACCAGAGGTTCATAATTCACTGTTGAATTAGGGGTGATTCCCCCGCGCCCCCATCCCCGATTGTTGTTGTTTCTTTCATTTATCTGGTCTCGTTGACAAGTTTTCTCCTTTTAATTTAAACACCAAACACCTCGAACCATCCTCCGTAGAATATGCAAAGATCCATTCCTTCATTTCTTTTCTGGAGGAAACACACACACACACACACACACACATATACATGGCAACTGGAGGGCTCCCCCCCCCCCGGCTCCCTGTGTTTTCACCCCTCCCTTGGAGGGAAGGGGTGAAGAAAAAAAGAGATTTTGCTAGCACAATAGTGGGAAATTTGTCCTCCTTTTACCCAGGATTCATTCACCTGCAAGTTCCCCTGTTTGTGTGGAAAAAAATCCCACTTTTTTTCCCAGTAACCCCCTTTTGTTACAAGAAAAGAGAATAACGCAAAGGGGTCGATTGTGGTTCATGTGCCTCTCGAAATTCACCACATCTGTGACAGACATGATATTTAGCGGAGTTGCCTTATCCTCCTGCTTTTAACGTAGTTTTCATCCTCATCGTAGCTCACCCTACTACTACTACTACTACTACTACGACTACTACATTGGTAGGGCTTCCGTACTGACCTAGAAGAAACTTACCACTCGGGTGGAGAGAGATGGGTGGTTTGAGGGTTGTGTGAACACTTTCGCGGGGAAACCGAGAGTTAGGGACATCCTTGGGTTTTGCATTGTTCAAGCAGCGGGGAATTCTGAAGAACATAACGATGGTAATGTTTTTCTTTCTTTTTTTTTTCCTTTTTAATTTTTCTTTCTCTTTTTTTTTATTATTATTATTATTATTAATTTTTCATTTTGTTTTCTGCTGTTGCATTTTGGGGAGGAAAATTTATAGATGTTCTAGATTGCTTGTATATAAAAACTTGTGCGTACCACTTTTGTTCTTGGTTTGTAAATTAACTTTTATAAGCTTTACCTTTTTTTATATATATATAATATATACGAGGATATGTATTATATATATATAGATATATATATATATATATAAAAAATACAAAACGGAAGTTTCTTAATATCTTTGTATTCTCAGACCTTTTGAGCCTTGAACTTTGAAATCTGGCAGCAATAACGCAGCATTTCTACCGTACACGAGAACAAGGACTTTTTTAAAATATATAAATATATATATATAAACAAAAAAAAAAAACTGAAAATGCACAAAGTTGTTACCTTTTTAAAGTGCTGCATTTAAAGACTAACTTGGAATTCTCTAGTTTGATTATCTTCTTGGGGAAAAGAAAAAAAAAAAGAGAGACAGAAGTATCCCAACTGTAATTTTGTGATAACGGATACTGTACCATGTGCCCTGAAATGTATTTTTTTACTAATAGACAATTTATTATGGCACATCCACACTCTTTCTGTTTAGATAATACACCACTGCATTCTGTTAATCGGTTCTTTAGCTATTCAGGTGTGGCTGATTTTTTTCTTTTCTTTGCCGTTATTAAAAATTACACATTTCTAAATATGCAGAATAAAAACTGTTTTTAAAATAGAAGATTCCCGCATCTCCTTGTTTTTGTCTGACATGCATGGAGCTGACGCCCTGATTCCATAACCTTTTCCCCTTTTCCTTCAAAATTCCCGCTGTGTTTGTCTCCGGACGGAGTTGCCAAAAGTCCTGCGAAGCTGCTTCTCAGCCCAACCGCCAGGATAGATTTCCCTTAGCACGACCCGCTTGAGAGAACAAAAACGAATGTAACCCAAGTTTGTGAGCCATTTTACATCTAATTCTGTAGGTTTCTACTTTGGGCTTGGTGGAGTGGTGTGTACTTGTGATTTTTTTTCCCTCCAGACCTCCCAAAACAGGATTATATTAGGTAAGTGGGAGGGAAAATAATTACACACCGCAGTTACATCGATGTTAACTACTATAACTATCTGCCGTTGCTCTCCAGTTTTGAGGTTAAAGGTCTTAAGGCGTCTTTGGGGTGCGGCGGGCCTGTTCTTCTCCTACTGGCATCTCAGGAAGGGCTGAGAGGTCCTGCTGTGAGATGACAACACCTGGTTTTACTTGCATAAGGTCAACATCTGTGGAGGAAGGAGGTCAATCTCTTTGTAATGGCTGGTTCCCCTCTTCTCTCTGCTCCGTTGTTGCCCTTGGACCAGATCCTGTGTGGCCTTCTGCTCAACTAAACTCTGCTAAACTGAACAACTAGACTTTATCCAAATAACTGTAGTAGCTTTTCGTTGTGGCTTTCCTGTTGTTGCTTTGTCTCCATTCGACCCTCGCAGTATCAGTGCGCCTGACCTTTTCCAAGCCATCTCTCTGTTGTGGTCTCTAGGCAACCTCACAGCAGAGGGTTCTCCCCCCCCCCCAGCAATCTGTGGTGGGAGAAGGCTACTCATTCGGCAGGAGGTGGAGGTGGGTTTCTGCTTCCCAGGTGGTGTGTGGTGGAAGCTTCCATCGTGGGTTTTCCTGCCTTAATAACCCCCCATTGCAATCCCATCTGAGGATTTGGGCCAAAGGAGGGACCGGTTTAGAACTAGAGTGTGGACTGTCCACTCTCAAGGAGAGTCGGACCTGGTCAGTGTTTGGATGAGAAGAATCCCAGGATCGTAGGACGAGCCTGGGAAACCAAGAGAAGAGAGAAGAACCCATGCCTTTGGAGGCCAAGTGAACGGCGGGAATCCACTCGATTTGTAAATTATCTGTGCTACAAGAGGAGATGAGTGCCCACGTGGACCTAATTTTGCTTCTTGGTCAGCAACAAGCTTGCCCTCCGTTGGAACCTAAGGCAACCTCCTTGAACGAGAAGGGGTAAACACGAGGGCCATGACCGGCCTTCAGATGGAGGGAAGATCTACCTAAAGCCATCGAGAAAGGCCGTCACCCGAAGCAAAGAGAACTTTCTCAGTCCTTGAATGATGACGATTCTTCCTGGAGAGGAAGAGGAAGGCCCGTAGTTCAGGCAGAAGAAGCTCTGTGTCCTGAGGGCTCCTGATTCTAAACCTCCTTGGGAAAGACCCCTGCCATCATTCTTGGAGACCTCCAGGCTGCTGGACCAAAGCTTCCAACTTGGGGCAAAGTTTCATCCATGTCCTGCATTTCATTAAAGTTGGAGCCCATCAAAGTTTTCTCCTTCACTTCCACATGTCACTTCCATCTTCTGGTGCTCCTTGTTCTCCAGCCCCCAACCTGGACAAGGAAGAAGACCATTTGGGCTAAGCAGAGAGAAGCTCCCTCTTCCCCCTGAGATGTTGTCCCAGCCTGCCACGCTCACACACATTTCCTTGCACACTCACTGCTTGTGAGAACCACCAGGGGGTGGTAGACAACCATCATTGGTGCCCACGCTGCTTATTTCTCCCAATGAGAGTTTCTCCCACAGCCCTAAAGGCTTCTGGGGTGCATTATCAATGATTAATTTTATATGAGAAGTACCAAATGCGGTTCTGGTGGGAGAAAACAGCATTTTCTTCCCCCTCCAACCTTCATTTTTCAGAATTGATTGATGATCCTCTCTGGTTCCCATCTGTCTGCTTCCTCCCACCAACCGTTTTGATTCACTTGAGTTTCTCTCAAGCATCTTCCTCGCCCGGGGAAGCTTTGAGTTCAGAAGGATCGCGTTCTTAGCCATTTTGAGGCGGCGGGGCGGGGGAACAACCAGGCATCCGAGGGGGCCATGCAGTCTGTTGGGGTAAACCTTGCTCAGGGACAAAGGTCCTGGGTCACCAGAGGCCACGATGGGAGAAGACCTTTCCCAGCTGGTGGTACGAAGCCAAGTGTGAGATGGACCAAGTTTGCTGGCCAACCAGAGATGTCCTTCAAGAGCTTTCAAAATTCTTGGCCAGGGGCTTCCGTTCCAAGACATCAGGAGACCTTGCCTCCTGCCGAAGACTTCAGGCCATCAACCCCCCACCCCAAAAATGGAGGGCCTCCCCCCAAGAGAATTCTGAATGGCTACCTTCTTTCTAGAGGAAATATATTCAGCTCTAACGACACAGTTGAAGCAACCTGATGTTCATCAGCACAAACGTATCAGAAATCATAATTCATAGAAAGTCGTCGCCTTATCTTGAAAGCTTTTACAACAATTAAAAATCCCCTCTCTGAATACTGCATAAATACCCCCGCGCCCCACTACCATCATCTATTGATTGTATCGTAAATATAATAAAAGGCTTTTCTTAAAAAAAGAAAACCTGACGAGATTTCAGAGGAAAAAAATGTTCAGCTCCAAACGTCCAATTGAAGCAACCTGGTGGCCATTCACAATAACGTCAGAAATCTATAGTTAATATTTACAAACTCCACCCATCCCTGGTTACCTTTTAAATGATCTCAAATCCTCGTAGTAGTTGATATTGTATAAACGCCATTGTCCCCAAATCATATATTACTTGCATCTTAAAATACAATAAAACGATTTAAAAACACACACACACCCAAAATAGAGAAACCTCCATGAGAATTCTGCAAGGCTGATTTTTCTAGAGAGAGAGAGGGAAAACGCACACACTTACAAACCAAAGCTACCTTTTGGGAACATTTCTGGCACAGAAAACCCAAGATGTGTAACCGAGTGGGCTCTCGGCGCCTTTGTGCTCTGCAAACTCACTTGCCCTCCCACCCTCCTTTTTAAAAAAATATTTGTTTTCATTCATACAAGGCTGCAATTCTGCAACGCCTGCTGTGTAGCCTTTCCACCCCATTTTTTATGATGATGAGGATAGTGATTCCTGCCTGCAGAAAACCCGAGGCTTCCCCGCTTAAGCCGAAAGCCAGGAGGTGTTGAAATGGGGAAGAGGCAGAAATTCCCCCGCAAGGTCAGTTCAAGGTTAAAGAGCGTAGCGGCTGTTCCTTGCCATTTCCACACATACACCCTCCTTGCCTGCTGTTTCTCCTGGCCTGGGGAGGTTTTTAAACATGACAGTTTCTCAAAGAGGCCCTTTAATTCGCTTCAGTCCAGGCTGGGCAGGGATGCTGGGCTGGAAAAGCGGAGCTGGATGGGTTGGTCTGTGGTCAGCCAAAAAGCAGGAAGGGTTTTCGGTTTCTTTTCGGACTTAACCAAGGGCCAAACTTTTCCCGAACTTCCTCAGAAGCAAATTTTACTAAAAGGGGGAGGTTTTTTGGGAAGCACAGCTCGCTTCATCAGATGCATTTTTTTTTTTTAATTGAAAGACATACATTTGTATGAATTGCAGTTCATGTCATGGGATGCAATTTTTCTTGAAAGGCGTGTAACCTTTTAGGAGCCATAAATTCATTTTGTCGGATGCAACTTGTATTCAAAGGTGTAACTTTTTGGACACCACAGATCACTTCATCGGATGTAACTTTTTTAAAAAAAATTATAACCTTTATTGAAAAATTAAAACATTAAGATACAAAATATAATACAAATATTTAAAATGAGAGTGTTACGTATGTTACAATCCATTTTGAGAGTGCTTACATTTCAATTATTTCAGTGCATATTTTATACTCCTATTTTGTGTGTGTGAGTGTGTGTGTGTATACCTATCTTTCTAAATTATACATTCCTTATTTAATTGCTTATTTCTATCATTTATCCAATGGTACCAATTTTCCCATACTTTATAATAAACTGAGTCCTCCTCCTC